ATTGGAGCACGCTCACCGTCTTCTACCACCGAGGCGTCAACCTTGTACACAGATCTGCGTTCCTCAATGCCTCAATGGACGACGAGTCAATCCACAACACCGCCTCTGACATTCCCTGCGGCAAGCGAATCAATTACATCCACAACTTTCACCGTCGGCGCCCCAACACTAACTTCCACATCACCATCCCCATCATTAAAGTCCACAACAGCAACATCCACACCAGCGGCATCTACAACACTAACATCTATAGCAGCGTCATATACAGCAGCAGCATCCACATTAGCGACATCCACAACAGCAACATCTATAACAGCAACATCCACACCATCTAACACAACATTCACTACAGCAACATCTACAACCGCAGCATCGACAACAACATCTAACACAACATCCACAACAGCAACATCTACAGCAGTAGCATCTACAACAGCGTCATATACAACAGTAGCATCCACATTAGCGACATCCACAACAGCAACATCCACACCAGCAGCATCTGCAACAGCAGCATCTAGCTCAACAACATACAATGCACCAATATTCACAACTACAATGCCCGTCGAAGGACCATCAACAGTGACAACAGTGCCATCACAAACATCCCCAACACCATCACCCGCAACACCAAAATCCACGACTGTGACATCCGTAGCAAGCCCATCCACAACACCACAGCCATCGATCTCAACTATAGACCCACACGCTTTATGCTCCGGCGGAGATCCCTGGATGCCGTACGTCTCTCGCCTATTAACTGCCCCGAGCACGTGGACAAGCACGTCCTACGTAGCCCGCTTCAGGTACCTGGTCCGTGGTTTGTCAGCTGATACCAAACTGGCGATCTTCGTCCAAAACACCGATGGAGACGAAGGTCCAAGGGAGACGAAAGTCTGGGAAGCACAAGCCCAGGGGACTAGCACCGGAGTGCAGGATGGATACATTGATTTCCAAATGGAAGAAGGGGACCAGGTAATGCATGTGAACATTGGATTACACTTTTTATTAATGAAAAGAAAGAAATGACATGCAAATAACTTGCAAGAAATCTTCAAACGAGAATATTTAATTTAACCTAGGTTGTTCTTGAAGCAACTATAGAACAAGATGATCTTGAAGCCATCATAGCAGTGGATAACTTAAGCCTATTCAAAGGTAAGTTGGAAATAATGTTTAAAGAAATAGAATACCCTCAAAGAAAAAAAACAGTTGACCAAATTCTGCGAAAATTTCTTTTACAGGAGTCACTGAGCCAGTGTACAAAGTCTTGGGGATGAGCAGTACGTCGCTGTCGTGGCGCATAGCTAGCGAGCAGCTCAACGCCTCTAGCGAGAGGTCTCCGGACAGCTCCGGGGGTTATCAAGCGGACAACGCCCGGTTGAACTCGGTTGAAGGCGCCGGGGCTTGGTGCCCTGCGCACGACGACCAAAATAGTTGGTTACAGGTAAAACACCGGTTATTTGGATACAGGGCAGGCACCAAACGTTAGAGCTGTAAAATTTGCTAGGCTGTAAACTAATAAAGTCTCCTTTCTGCATGTTTTGGGGATTATGATGGGAATGTCATTGAGACCCGAAATCATTATTAGTTATTCTACCATCATTACAAAGTTCATTTTGTTGGGATCACTCTAAGGTTGCTTTCGTGGAGGATGCAGATATTTACGGGATCGTCGTCCAGGGACGAGCTTCTGCAGATGAATGGGTCGAGACATTCTCAGTGTCCTATTGGAACAGTGATGAAGAATGGAAATTCATTACTAACGCAGATGGCGACAAGAGAGTGCGTGTATACATTTCCTTCTTTTAGCGTGGAAGACTTTTGCACATGAAGTCGGTGCAGATAAGAAAAAGAAGAAGACTCTGTCGAAGCTTACATTGCAGATTTGTTTTAATCACCAAGGTGCCAAGGTTTGAAAGTAGACTTGTAGATCACAATTGTTAAATTGATTCAAAAGAAAGGAGTCAAAGGACAGCTGTTATTCTATATTCCGTGATGTGTTTCTCTTTTCGAGTATCTTTATAGTTTTGGAAAAATAGCCATCTTTTCCTGAAGTTAACCTGCACCGTTTTGAAAGCATTCTTGTTTCTTCAAATGACCTTTGTCGCAGCTTGTTTTTAAGGCCATGTTATGGTTTCAAACCAATGTCAGCCGCAAAATTGCTTTTCATCTTGTAGATTCTTAAGGGGTCATATGACAGTGACACGCCAATCCACGTTACGTTTGAGGAGCCAATCAATGTACGGCTTGTGCGCATCCACCCGGTCATGTGGCATAATGAGCCGTGTTTACGAATGGAGTTGCTGGGCTTCAAGCGTAAGACCATTATAAATAGTTTATGTGAAACCTTATGTAGAAGCATTTTCAAAATGAATTTATCATTTTCCCTCTTGATTACGATCGAGAAAACGGAATATTCATGACATTCATGGTGATGAAACTACATAGGGCCTACTATAAGGCGTAAATATTGTGCAAAACCTCTTCTATCAAATAAATTCCCTGTAAATTTATAAACAACCCGTCCTATGTAAAACACTCAATGCTAATTTACTACAACATCATAAAGTGAGCATTAACATAATATGATACTTATTGACGTGTCATAATTCCACCTTTTTGCTTATTGAACGGAGTTATTTTGTAACTTCTGTTTGCAATTAACTTACTTCTCCCTCGTCATAATTCCAACTTCAAATTGTCCTGTTAATAATCCATTCGAGTGTTTTGCTTCATTACTAAACTACGTGATAAACGTTGTAAATATTTCTACTTCTTTCATTTGAATGTCTGAACTCCCTCCTCACGTGATCTCTCAAACTGCCATCTTGGTAAAAGAAATCCTTTATGTGTCAGTTCTCTTGCCCGGCGCCCAGCATTGACAATCACTGAACCATTCACCTTTTGAATGAAGCATGCTCCTCTGTCGGTCCACCCGCGCCTCCTTCTCCTCTAACAACTTGTTCTCGAATGCATGAAGGTGCATGATTTCTGCCACATCTCTGAACTTATAGATCTAACCTTCTCTCGATTATTTCGAAGTGCAGTTTGTCATTTTTACACACGAGGAATGAGAAAGGGGTGTTAAAACTGAACAGCTAAACTGATGGGAAAATTATTTACAAAGAATATGTAGTCCTTAATTTTTATTTTGACTGTGATCACGCAGTCTTCTTGCAGGTTTGAATTTGTATTTTTCACTTTTGGCCGACTTCACGGACAACTTCCTGTCGGCATTGTGCCTGCTTAGTCGTTTCTTGTTCACTACAGTGAAGCAGGAATTGTTTATGTTATTTGTTTTTTTTGCGTTGAACGTGAAACGAGGGACAGTGTCTTTGTCACGAAGAGGAATTTCCTTGCTCTTCGATGTAGCTTTCGTTTTGTTTTGTTTTCTGCGTGTACAGTGACTTCATCCAAACATACAGAAAAGTCTGTCCATTTTCACTGTTGCCTTGAGACGTGTTCTGAGAAAGTAATTGGTATTATGGTGACTTTTACAGTGATCGTGATCGAAGATTATCAACCATCTTGACAGTGGCTATGACTTTAACAAGATTTTTTTACTTGATGAACAAGGCTCCCTTGGTGCAACTGCTGAAGAGGAAAATTCCATGAAGAACGAGTTTACCACCGCAGTATCGTCGGCATCGGAATACGGAAATACCGATGGTACCCCCTCTACCGTTGCCGATGACGAAGATGTAATAACGACTAGAATTCTGGATTACACATCCCAAGAAACTAGAAAGGTTGGAATGAACAACACGACGGAAATAACAACAGTTACTTCAGGAGCATCAAGTTCAGAGACGATGGACGAACTCCTAAACGGTGCAACAGTTGACGAAACCATCGTCACGCAAACCACAAACACAAGAACCTCGAAATATACGGAAAGCCCAGTAGGTACAAATGAAGAAGGAACGATTACCTCCACAACAGAAACGAATCAAGAAATGGGCTTCAGTCCGCAGAGTCCAGCATCAACGACCCCGCAAGCTTCACACTTCACAAATCCAGACCTTTGGAAGTCAGGGGACCCAACATCGACTTCTGAGGTGCCAAGTTCAAAGACCCCCACGCCGATCGCCCCAGGATCCACAGCTTACGATGAACAAGAGGTGAAGGACTCCCACTCATCTAGTGGGCCTTCCGTCTTGCAGTCACCTGCGAGCGGGGTGAACACGACCGCTGAGGCGCCGCAACTGCAGACCGCCGATTCGATCCCAATTTCTGAGAGTGAGGTCCAGGACCAAATCAAAATGGCAGCTGGTGTGAGTAATGTCCAAAATTCCTCACATTTTCCCGTAAGAAACCCCCGTGACGATGTACCGATACCTTCTACCTGAGCATTGTTTGTTTAATTTCAGGAAGAGGTGACGCCATTATGTGACCACGATCAACCCAATAACATCAGACAAGTCGTGAAAGTAGTGCAAAAAGGACTTCATTGAGCTATTTAAAAAAAATTCATTTTGGATTTTTGCCCTTATTTTAACACGGTATACTCAGGTGTATGGCCCCGAAGGCTTGTGAAAAAAAATATCCACAAGCATACTTGGGTGGGACTTTAACCCACAACCTCCTTCTTACTTGTGCAGACGTCTCGACCACCGAACTTGCCGGTGTTGGCTGGCTGGTTCGAATCATATGTAGCAAAGATGCATTTGTGCTGGGTGGTGTAAATTAATTTTGGATGTTTTGCCCTTCCCGACTTGTATTTTAACACTGTATTCTCAGTTCTGAAGGCTGACGATGTAGTTCAAAAAAGTTGCATCAAAAATTTGATATCAAACCATTCTTTCGTCGGGAAATTGCCTCAGGAAACGTGCTTGAGTTTTTTCATTTCCATTAATTCTGATTGAAAAACATGCAACAACTCGATATAAATTGCACTGAACGTAACAGTTATCTTCCTTTTCTTGTCCCGAAGGCTGAAGATGTTTACAGCGCGATTGAATCCCAGAGAGGCAGCTTGACGCTCGAGACGGCCAAGGTGGCCCTAGGCGCGGTGTCTGCAATCACTACTACCGCCAAGAGCGCCCCGCTAACCGACCGGGAGATTGAAGCGGTGACCAAGACGCTAGAAGCGGTCTCAGGGGTCTCCGGAAAGAGCAAAGACTCTGCAACGGTAACTAAAAAAGACATCATGAGGCTTTCTACTAAAAACTCTTTCATCAAGGTGGCAGAATCAAGCCTGCCGAAGGACAACACAGCAGGGTTGCAATGATTTATCTGAAAAATAAACCACTGAATACATTTAAAATAAACCCAAAGGGTACGAGCGCGAACAGGTCTAACTGCTGAGTTGTTTTTCCGTAGGACTTCCTCAGTGTGTGTGGAGACCTCCTCAGCAGAAATTACACCGACTTGCTGATGTCTTCCGATACGGTAGGCGAAAAATCACAAATGTAAGAACCTGTTCGAAAACGTGGTTTAACTCTGGGGTCATTCAAGTTAATATAAATGACATTAACATGTGAAAAATGGGTGTATGTTTCCTATTAAGTGGCACTAATGTTTCTTGCATATCAGGTCGGGAACGATTCAACCTCGACATCCTTTCTCGACAACTTGCTCAGTGCGGTCGACAACTTGGCTGTGTCGGTCACCGAAAATCTGTTGGATGAGAACACGACGGAAGTCCTCATCGCCAACGCCAACTTAGGTATAAACAAAACCTCAAAAGTCACTGGGCATTTCCAATTAGGAGGGGTGTTGACAAAGATGTAAGTGTCGTAACCGAACCGAAAATCTCTCTAGAGCCCAGATTGTGCGGTGTTATACAACTGTCTTTTGTTCACGAACCTGGCTCAGTGCACTGCTGACCAGCGATGATGTCGATGGCTTGGTTAATAGAATTCCTTGTGTACCTTTGGGCGTCCCCATTTGTTCAGTTCTGCAGTGCTGGTCAGACTTCAGTGACAAAATCAAAGGAAACAAGGTGGAGCTGACTCCTGAATCCAGCAAGAATCTCTTCTCCCTTCCTGTGTCGTCTCTTCTGGGCAGAGAAGGTGTGTGGTGACTAATTAGCCATTGGCATTAGCTACGACACTAGACATTTCCCAGGATGTTTCTGAAATTGACGTGAGTCGGGTTTGAATTTGGGAAATGTTGAGGTTTTCACGATAAATCTTTAAAGGTTAAGACCTGCAGAAGTGATCAAAATGCGTTTGCTTCTTTCCTTAAGATTTTCCCACGCGCGTGTTTCATCTAAGGTGAGAGGCCTTCCCGAAAATTCAGCAGAAGTACACGTAGTTGAAGTGTTGGAATTTACCATTTGGAATTTCGTTTTTAAGTACCGTGGCCCTTTGATTTCAAAGAGACCGAATCATTCGAGATTCAAATCCATTTGAGCATCGTGGCATGTAATTAACCAGGTCGCCCTCTGTGATTGGTTGGCTGGTTTAAGATGTGATTTTGCAGAGGGCTTTCTCAGACTGCACTGAGCACAACTACCGCACAAGTCCAAAATAATGCTAAATCTCAGACCTAAATCTCCAAACGAATCCAGTCAGGGCCAGCGCTGTCGTCTTCAAAACCCTACACAATGCGATCACCACCGACGTAGAAGGTCAGAGTTCGTCCAGAAATGTGACTGTGGGGTCAGAGGTCGTGTCGCTAACTGTGACCCAGAAGGATGGTTCGAGTGTTCCACTTAGCGGGGAAGATCCAGTAGTTATGAAATTCCAGCTCGAACAGGTACCGATCAGACTTTTCTTCTTGATAATTTCTGTGAAAACATGCTAGAGTAAAATCTGAAGGGGAATGCGCCATTTTGTCAAGTTCAAACACATGATTTTCTTGGGTGTTCCAAACAATGTCTTTGCCCTTCAACAGAAACTTCTGCCGGTTTCCTTTCGGTTTTATCATTCACTTATAATCAGATAACCTAGTAAAAAGCAGTAATAAAATAGGATGTTTAAATGGAATAAAAACATGAACAGAACCGTGTCGCTTTTCTTGTGGTTTTACAGGATAAATCTTCGGAACAAGAGGCAAAATGTTGCTTTTGGAAGTTCCAAAATAGGTAATACTCATTGCTCTATGTTCTTCATCCTGAGTATGATTACACTTAATGCCTCGAGTCAGAACTCAAAAACTCAAGGACGAACTCTCACGGGGAAAGGACACGTTTTCACGGGAGAGTTAATTCTGTGAACATCTTTTTTTTGACAATTCTAGTGGCGGTTTATGGTCAACCGATGGCTGTGTAGTCAACGAATCGTTAACCAACGCGACCACATGCCACTGTAGTCATCTCACTAACTTTGCCGTCTTGCTGCAGCTTAAGGAAACGGTACGGACCCCGATAATTACATGTATTCTTATAATTATAAACTATCTTTTCAAAATGAAACCAGCGCTCAGAGTACGAGTGGAAGGCGCTAGAGGGCGCTGTGAACATTTCTAGTCAAGCTCCTCGCTGTTGTTGACAAGCCGACAGTCTTAAGCAATTTGTCCAGAGATGAGATGTTCGCTGAAAGCTTACGCTGCGCATATCTCAGGGGAATAAATAAGTTTGGTTAAAAGTATATACAGAATGCCAACTAATGAAGCATTTCAACCGCAGTGAACTCACATGAGTGCATTTACTACAAGAACCGTTCTGATGTTATGCAGGTGTTGCCAGCAGCGCATTCGACAGCCCTCGAGGTCTTGACTTACATTGGAACCATCTCGTCCATAGCTACACTTGTGTTTTCCATCGCTTTATTCTGCTTTTTGAGGTAAACAAATATGCTTTATCACACGACGTGTCGTGAATAAACAACAGAACGTCTCGTTAATTTTCCTTCCCCGACAGTCCTGCTTTTTATTGCGTCCATTTTTCAAGATAACTGCGTACGAAATTGGCTGTATCTCAAAACTAACCAGATGTCACGCATGCGGAAAGCGCACTTAAGACGTCGTTACTAAAAAAGTCAACGTTAGATGAAGCGAGATTAATCATGAGTGGCGTACGCGAGCTCTCCTTTTAACGGCTTCTAATTGCTTTTAACGAATGCACGATCCAGAGTCATTATGTATCCCTTTCCGTGATTAAAACACGATCCTTTTCGCTCACTCAAACAATCTGCTGGCTGGTGTGTTGAATTAATTCATTACTTGGAGCAGCATGTGTCAGCGCGGGTGCTTGCTACGTTAGATAGCACAAACCTATTGGTAACCGTGCAGGACTTCATTGAGTGCCAGGGATACATTCCTTTCCCAATTAATGATGATGCATTAGTTAAAGCCGTGTACGAACTACACCAGCAATTCTGTATACAGGGAGCATCATTTCTCGTGAAGTGCAATCGAAACTTGCGGTCAACGACGCGTACATGCCGAAAAAAAATCCCACCAAAACATCAGAATGTTTGCAGTGGCTGATGAATGTCTCACTGCTCTTCAATTCATTAATGCCACCGGTGACAGAAATTTCCAAATTTGTTGCAACGTCTTCAGACGTTGAGGGTCGTTTTACTGCTGTTCTTCGTTTATCGTGTGGGTACTCAAGAGCCGCAAGCTAAGTGCGCATGAAACAGAAATCGCCAATAACGGATACCAACAATTAATGGTAATTTAACACAACCAAAGAAAATCACTATTGAAAGCCCCCGAAAGGTGTTGCAGAGCATAAAGACTGCAAAATTAAGGTAACATTTTTCCGATTTTTAACTATTTGTGTGTAAATTTCCAAATATCCAGTTCAGTTCAATTTACATTTTTTTCCATTCTGCACAGGACTATTGAAATGTACAAGAGAGGTTACAATACACTAAGATATATTTACACATGCAATACGGCCGCACGGTTTCACAATAGTGCGCCACCAATAGTTTGCAACGCGTTGGCCAATCAGAATGCGCGAAATTTGTCGACCCGATGCGCGTTTGGAAAGGGTCGACAAATTTCGCGCGTTATGATCGGCCAACGTGTTACAAACACTTGGTTGCGCACTATTATGAATCGCCCGTATTCCGTTGTATGGAGGCATATTCCGGAATCCAAAGCTTGTCTTTTATGAAAAATTACTGAATGAAGTATCAAAGCATACACAAAGCAGAAAGACACACCAACAACAGTGACAAAGATCAGACAAATCCGCCTTGAGTCACAAGCATCCCCTCATCGGTTGGAAAAGAGTCCTGTTTGCGAACCAGCGAAGGGCAGTTCCCACCAAAGGAGCCTTCCTTGCTAGGAAAATTGCGCCCTCTCTTGGTTCCGCTCGGGGTGGATATGAATAAGACATTAAACGCATACAACGACCTAGTTGAAAACAATATACATACTGCTGACGAATTATGTGAGTGGCTAATGTAGTCTACAGGAATGACCAAAAAATCTTGGAACTATCCATAAATCTAAGGTCTAAAGTTAACGCAAGTAAGAAAAAAGGAAAGGAGGTTTCAGAAACTAAATCACGTACAGGCGAGAATTTGTAGGAGAACTTGACTTCGCCAACGAATAATTAATTTAGATAGTTCTATCAATTCAATACAAAGGCCTAATCCACCAAAAAGTTTGACATTATTACGGTTAAAGCGACACCGAAGATTTTCTGATATCTCATGAAAGTTTTAATACTGAACGTTGCCGATTTCCCTGTAGGTTGTTGAAATCCCAGCGGGTTATCATCCACGTCAACCTGGCGGCCTCACTGGCCTCCGCTCAGTTGCTGTACCTGACTGGCATTGATGCTACGTCAAATCAGGTCAGTCTCCACCCCCCCAATATTTGAATGCCTAAAAGAGCCAAGGTCTGCATGTAATCGGCTTTGAGCAGCAGCACCCCATCCTCGGTTGAAGGGAGCCATGTTCGTGGGGAGTGTTCATTTTGTTGGTAGCGACGTAACCGTAATGTGTGCATTTCACGTTCGTTTGTGAACCAGCGACGTGCAGTTCACACCAAAGGGGCTTCCTTTGGTAGGAAAATTGCGCCCTCTCTTGGTCGAGCTTGGGGCTTATACCTCTTGTCTATTTTTTAGCATCAGCTGATGAGTCTGGTATATTTTGTTTTGGATCACAGGGAGGCTGCAGAGCTATCGCGGTCCTTTTGCATTATCTCTTCACTGCTTCCTTCCTTTGGATGTTCATGGAGGGGGTTCATCTCTACATCAAGTCCGTAGCTGTCTTTGGAAAGGGACTGCGATCCTGGATGTACATGGCCATTGGATGGGGTAAGCCAGCCTAAGGCCGACAGGTGGTCGGCTTTAGCATGCTTCGGTTGAGGATAAGATTCACCAAATCTGATACACGAGCGCTTCCGGAAAGAAAGCTTTCTCTCGGCGGCTGATTTGTATTTGTGATTGCGCTGTAGGCTGTTGTCAGCCAAGCGCACAACGGCCAACCCTGGGAAAACCTGTATGTATTCCTAAATGGAGAAACGATCTTTCCAAGTGAAGTGGCTTGCTCAGAATCCTCAATCATTGTAATGTCTTCCGGCGGAAGGGCGTATTTTACGACTGGACCGTGGCCCTCAATGTGCAATAAAACCGTCGGTACCAGACCACAATTTTAAGGGTACATAATGCAGTCAACTGGACACCCTCAAAGGCAGGTCGGCAGCAGATTTCTTACTCTTAAACCACTGCTCCTATGCCGTGAATTACCAATAATATGTACACGCACACTATAATCACGTCCGAACAAACTGTAGCTGTTTTGGGAGTATGACGCACGTCTGTCTGCCCCGAGCTGAAGTGCACCCCCAGTCGGCGAAAGAAAGACATGCGGTTACAAGTGGGTTCTTGCATGCGTTCTGCACATGTGGTGAGAACCAACCCCCCCCCCCCAAAAAAAAAAAAAAAAAAAAAACACGCCCTCTTTTTTTCGGCTCGGAGCGGATTGTTTGTTTCCTTATTTTAATCTATTCATACAACAGCGCATTTAGCCCCAATATCAGGATTAAGTGACAATTAAGAAGACAGTAGGAAATGTTTAGTTTTAGAGGTGGAGGAAAACCTGGATAAGTCTTCCGGAATCAGGTAGGGACTGAAAACTTCGCTCTAAATGCTGACCTACGTGGGATTGGAAGCCAGGTTGCAGATGTGCATGAAAGCGACGAAAGAGCCACTACACCAACCTGACACCTGCACTCGATCGGTAGTGGCTTTAATGGGCATATGTGTTATACTCAGTCGTAGCCACAGCCATAGGCTACCGCCTCTTTCTTTGTGTTATCCTGAACATGCACACGGCACACTGCATTGATAGGCAGTTATCATACAGCGGTTTAATGAAAGTGCCGTTTAAATGCAAAACGTCGGGTGATGAAAATGAAAACAATAGCTTGGTGTAGGCCTATTCCGAGCCCTCGTCACGAGTCGAAGACCTTTCGCGTCCGGTTTGTTGACTCACTGAGTGGCTGAAGCGCATTACCCCCTCGGACAACCGCAGCCAGCCAACCGTGGAGTGATTGCGTCACACGACCCTCACGAAGGAGTTCTCGGCTCCCAAGTTGTGTTTTTTCCTTCTCTTGACGCCGGGATTCGGGCAGAGTACGAGTTGGCGATGCATAGATGAGGGAAGTCAGGGGAGCTTTAGCACCGGGAATTATTCAGCGAGAATCGTTTTGTCTGATCAGATCTGAGACGTCGAGATGGGTTGTCCAAGCAGGAAAGAAATGTCATTGCCCTATCCCCATGCCTTTCGACTGGGGAAAAACAAAACGCTAACTGGCTGATTGAGGGGGCTTACGTTTGACCATGCCACTGCAAACGGTCAATATTTGCCCACTAGGCTGCTGTTTATAGTTCTTGATACAAGTGGTATAGTGTGAAATGTTCATTAGAAGTTCATCATACTTGCTACCTGAGAACTGATGCATCCAACGGCCAGATGTGACACTTGCATGCTATCGTCACAAAGAACACATTTAGTGCAGAAAAATATTTAGACTTCTGTCTTTTCCTGACTGTTATTCCCCAGGAACACCATTGCTGATAGTCGGCGTTGCTCTAGCTGTCCGATTTGATGGTTACGGCGCGGGATCGAGGTAAGGATAGGCAAGCAAGAATCAAGGGCACTTCTCGATTCAGTGTTCCTTCTTAAAATTTGACTACTCCTTTTTAAATGACTGATAACTATAATCGTTTGCGCAACGGCCGTTTATCCACAGCTGCACTGAATTTCCACTCGTTAAAAACCCCTTAACAAGTCCAAGTCTTTATACATACTTGCACTGCGTAGTGTAATTTTTTTTAGGATATTCTGATTTCTCAGGAGAAAGAAATGAAGTACTCAACACGTGGAGAATTCACGTTACAAGCAGTATAAAAACACTCACAAGGTGGTAGTCTGCATATTTCAATGCGAAGATAATGCACATTTGCAGCTGGAATGGAGAGACGATCAAGCGCCATCTTTTAATTAACTTTTAGGCACTTACCTCCGTCATAAGACCCAGAAATACATAAAAGCACGTGTATTCCTGAATATCTCTAATCAGTAACTAGACTAATTGGCACTGGATCGAATTATCCCCGGTTTCAATTAAGGAGAAAGTCTGCTAAATATTTCCAAAAGTGGGTCAGGAAGAATGTCGTACATTGCCGTCCATCATTTTGCGGAGTTATGGATCAGTGAAAAACATATCCGGTTTTGGCAGGCTTGGCAATTGTAACCTCAGGCACAGGGCTACCTCGCAATCTAACACCACACGCGACTTAACGTGATTTGTCAAATTACATGTATTTTGGTGTTGTAATTCATGTAGCTGTTGGCTATCGCACGACAGTGGCCTCATCTACGCGTTCGTAACTCCGGTGGTGGTCGTCGTGGCGGTAAGTTGTCAACGGCTGATGCAGTTTCCTTCGTGTCATGACTGTTTGTTCAATACTTTCTCCAACGCACTTATACATGAAATCGATTGAAGAGGGCAAAACCGCTTTTAATATTGAAGTCTCCTGCTGAACTTTGAAGTGAAATTATTTCACGGAATTGTTACTTATTTCCCCATCCTGATTGTCCACAACTTCAAAGGATTTTTTTTAGTATACACAACAATATACCTTCGATCGATGTGACCAACAAAATCTGTCAAGCCTTAGAAAGGTCACCCGCCCACTTTTCTTCCGTATGAAGATGTATGATTCCCGAGTACTCTGACATAAAAAATCTCGCTTTTTATTTCATTTTGATGGCAGTATTTATCAGAGGTCTTGAAAAATAGGCTCAAGGGCAGCAAGCAACAATTTGTAAACATTCAACAGTTGTTTTGTCTCTTAATCAAATACCGGTATTGGTTTTTCAGACCTTATTCTCGATGTATACCGCAATGAGATGAATGTTTGCCCTTACATCATGTAAAATATATTTACTGTCTCAATTCCAACATCTACAACATCATTGCGTTCTTTCATATCCTGTATATACTCTGCCGGGTTTCCAAGATATTAAAATTACGATCGTGTTTGGGTGAGAGTTGGCCCGACACAGTTGTGAAATGACGTGTTTGAAGAAGTGCAGATCATATTTATCACTAAGGCTGGACGTAAAGTGAAAAATGAGGAAGTCGGGTTCAACCACCGACGAATCGGAATCACGATTTGTTTACACACAACGCTGTTTGCAGCTGTGCAATGAAGTGCTGCACTGCCCTCCGGCGTGGCTGGGGAGTACCGGTCACCTTGGAACAGTGCGATTGAATATCCTGCGCTATGCTGCCGGCAAGTACAGTTTTCTTGTGAGTCACTGCCGAGGCCGAAGAAAACTTCACATGAAAAATATTCCACCGAAAAGACCAGATTTCACCGCTGCCGAAAGGCCGTCTTTCATCGATCGCAATTGAGTGTCCATTTCACTGATTGGCTCACAGGCTACGCAGTGAGGGCTCCAATGAACCTGCCGTATCGATATCATATCACCGTGAATGGAGCGTGGTGTAAGAGCTGGGCGATATGACAATTACAGTCGATGTGATCAAATATCACTTGACATGTGAAATGAAACAGCCATTGCTCCGAGACCGACGACATTTCCATGGTCACCACTAGAATGAAACTAGGATGAAAAACTAAAGATCAAACTCTCGGTCCTCTTGCAAAAATAGTCCATCAAATCCAGAACTGAAAGATTTCTCGAGAGACAGTTTTGCCCCGGGGCCTAAAATGTGGAAAAGCGATTTTCGATTAAATTGATTGAGCCATAATCTTTTACTACGACTCCGGTCGTTTTTTTGGCTTTTATTGAGCAGTTGAACACACTCATACTGGTGATGGTGATTCGAGTGTTCATGGCACTAAAGGCAAATGTCGACAAGACGGAGAAGGAAAAAATCAGGTACATGTCTATAAAATTCACAAGGTTGTTTTCATAAAATGCAGGGAATTTTTCTCTCTATGGCGTGAAACGGAAACAAGTCAAGTCTTGGGGCAATCTAAAGTGAAATCTCCGCAAGATGCATACAATCCTCAGAAGGAACAGATGGAGACAAAAGTAGCCTGGAAGATAATTTTACAAGAAGGCCAAAGAATCTTAGAAAAATACTAAGAAATCTATACAGTGTTAAGAAAAATTGAAAGAATTTCAGGAATAAATCCAAGAAGATTTTTAAAAAAGGTGTTTAATGCTGGTGTCAGTGAAACAGTTCATAATTTCTTGCAGCGTATGCCCAAATTAAGCGAGTCCGAGGTCATCCGAGAACAGCAATAGGAGCACGTGACGTCTGCCCTATCAGTACATGCGCCGACTCTCACGCGTACTTTGGTCTCGAATGACCGTGCTTTGTTAGAATACTAAACTGGCTTGTTGTCCTGTTGTCTTCAGGGCTGGTATTCGGGCGGTGCTTCTGTTGCAGCCCCTCATGGGTTTCACCTGGGTCTTCGGTCTCTTCTCCTCCTGGGATGAGACGCTGTTCTTTACTTACCTATTCGTCATCTTCAACTCATCCCAGGTAAACATAGTCCTACCTATACATTCTAGTCCTACCTATACGCTTCAAGTACCGAGACCCACACACGAACTGGGGACGCTCATGGTACGAAGCCGTAGACTTTTCATAATCTTCTTCTGTAGCTAGACCCATTCATTGGTTTCCTTTAGCACTGGTTAGGACGGGTGGGCAGGCGCGTATAGAGGAGCACATAACTGTGGCCTCCCGGCCGACAGGGGGCTCTCTCTAGGGGTACTATTTAATTGCAATAATCAGTACAGTTTGTAGGGATGCAGTTGTGGTAAACTTGTACCGCAATCCTGGTAAACCTTGCTGCCATGCCCGTTGCTAGTAAAATTTCTATCTTTGTAGAATGTGTCTTGAATGCATTGCGCACAATTCGTATAATTTGATTTAATGAAATTTTTGTCCGTTCGCGGCCACCTTAATGGCACCACGAGCTTAACAATTAAGTTCTTATTCTGTGTTTGATTTTCCGCACCGTACCAGGGAATCTTTATTTTCCTTCTGCACTGCGCTGGAGATTATGAGGTAAAATGGATTTTCTTGTCATCCATCACTGTAAGTGTTGTGATAAATCTCATTGCCTGTGCCTGTCTCGATTCGTTTTGGAGCTATCTGTGATTCTTCCGTTCCATGATTTTGTTTACTTCCATTGTACCGTCTCTTGGAAACAGAACTTGCAATAGTCAGTAAATTATGTTCAAGCTGGAATATCCGTACTGGCTTTACGCTCTACTAGCCATCGTCACTCTCTAATAGACTAATCAGAATAGTGCTTGGACTGCGTGAGGTAATACCATTAACAGTCGCATTAAGAAGTTAGAAAAACACGAACACTGACGGTCATGAGAAGGTGGCATGCCCTTAGAGTGCATCGACACGGCTATGTTCCGCTGTTCAATTAGCCACGTGTTAGTGAGCGGCGAGAGGCAAAGCTTTGCCGACGGGGCATTGTTCTACGGAGCATATCGGGGGGGGGTGTCCTTCCCTGAAGGCCCGGTCACGATGATGTTAAGTGCATTGGCCTCCTGGTGACGGCATCAGGGAGCTGTACTTTCCCTTATGTATATCTCTCATTCTGGAACGCCGGCCACGAATTCCCGATGGATTAAGGAAAGGGAAATGAAAAAGGAAAAAAGAAAACAGATGTGTTGTTAGCAGGATACATCACTGCACGGTCAACTCTTGAAACCTGCAGGTTTTCTGCCTTTGCGATCAATATCATCAGCAGGTACTTGGGCGGAGGTCGGCGCCCTGTTGCTGTTTTCTCAGAGTCTTGATGTATTCATGATTTATGGCTTGGCGCTTGTACAAGAACCCTAAATCCCATTTTTTCCCAGAAACAGTGATCAGAAGAGGATTAAGATATACACGATAATTACACGTACAGCTAACGGAGATAATTAACCAATACACCCAAGTTTGGAAACTTAAAAACATCCCCATGAAGAAGCTTTGTTTCGAGATGTACGAGATGATCCAATTCATCAAGATCATAGCAACTCCCTTTGTGAAACAAATTATTTTTTACTCCAGCTTCAGCAAAAATTTGTCTTCCCGTTGCCACATATTATGTAGTAATATTTTGAAAAGTGTGAAAAGTCAGATACGTGTAGCCTACACGCAGAATTATCCAAAACCAACCGACCAACTCCATAAACTTTTCCTCCCGTACAGGTGCGTAAAGCCTTCAGAAAGTTCCGCGGTCGCCGCACCGCGCCTTCCCCGTCCACTGATTACTCGTTGGCCAACCAGTCCAGGCTGACCCGGAAGCAGACGATGCCGAGCATGACCACAGCCGTCGATCTAGCGCCCTCTATGCCGGGGATGGGGAAGGAGGCGCATTCGCTGCCAACAGAAAGGAAGGAGCGCCATTTAACCAGCACGGTAACGACTGGAACTGTGAAATCGATATGGAAACCAGACGGGGGAGGGGGGTATTACTAGTAAATTATTTATTAATCGGCAAGACTTCTTTTTAAAGCCTATATATATATATACTGCAACACGATTTAAAAATTCGATTTCAAAAACTTAATTGCCTTGTCACTGACGAGACAGGCCAAATTAATCACTTCTCAGTATATTTGAGGTGTGAAACATACAGTCTCTTTATAAGTCTGACGGAGTTAACTGAAATATTCATTTTGTCTGAAAATTAGCTTTAAAGTAACGATGACTTAATGAAATCTTTAGAGTGTTTGTCATTTAATTAAAAATGACATCTTTGGTTGCAGGATTTGAACAATATACGACTGAAGAGAAGAGAGCCAAGCAGTAAGTGAACTTCTGATACTTTTCGATGCCGCGGGGGAATCGGGGAACAAGCGCTCAGTTAAATTTGAAACGCATCTCTGTAACAAATCAAACGATCCTTGGATGTTCAGCCATAGCGCATATGACGTTACGGTTCGGCGTTTTTTGGAATACAAAGATTTGATAATTTCATTTAATTCACGTGTTCTGCTTGTTTTGAGGCATATTTGTCTTTGTTGATTAAATAGCATGACGAACGATGTGTGGTTGGTCTAGTTACAGGTCGTTGCTGTCTCATAAAGTATTTATTACTATTTCTGGCATCTACTCTCCCAACAGAGGTATCGCTCCCTTCCAAAGAAGCCTGGACCAAAGACAGCGTCGAAACCGTCGAGGCGACTGGAAATAAGTCTAATAATTACATAGTCGAGGATGGAGCAACTGTCCAAGGCATGCCGGACGTCAAAACGGATTAATTTGAAGAAACGTGTAGTTGAGTATCTGACATTTGGAACAAAGATACGCGTGACCGCAATATGCAGCATTCTGCATCGTAACGACACCAAATGTTTCCAAGAGACTGGAAATTGAAGGATGCCTTAATTGTTGATACCTATATAAGTAAAATTGTATTAAAAAAGTAAGTAAATTTAAAATAATTATACTGATAGCCAGAGCACACTGATCCAAACGTCGACCTCACAAATCCTATCTTCAAGAGCCTACCTCTCTTTTGCAGTTTATGCGTATGGTGTGCTGAGCATTTTTCTCATCATACAAACTTCCATTCTATACAGCAATCGAACTGTCAAGAGTTCGGTACTTATGCTCTCTACGGCTTACTTCCTCCCTGGCAAATCATTACATAGACACAGACACAAGATATCTCCGTACGCGAATCCCTCTCTCTTTTCTGAAGGTTAGAAACTTCGGGGCGGATCAAGAGGAGGGGATAGGCGGGTCCGTAGCCACCAAAATGGAGACACAAAATTTTGAAAAAAATTGAAATAACAGAAAGGCGATTTTGCTCGATTTTATATTATCTTCCTTCTCCGAATCGTGTAAGAATCCCTCAACTTAGCTTTATCCCCAAGAACGGCTCTGAAAGGTCACATAAAAATACAACCAGATTTCTGCCCCCGAAGGAAATTTGCCTCAGAATATGTGCTCTCTATCCGTCCTTGTACAACATCCATATCTAGACATCAACTCTTATACATCCCTCGTAACTGTACTAATGTACTACCCAGACTTGTTCAGATATTTTCGTATGTCTTCTGTGCCCATAAAATATAATTTTCGAGGATATTTATTAGCAAAGAGTTATATTGTTGACTTAATGTAAATTACGAAAGTTGTCTTGGCGTATTATAATTGTGTGCTGGTAGGACGGAAGGGCTTGTACATTACAATCGAAATACAACTAACTTACCTTTGTTAAAACTCAATAACTAACCCATAGAAAAAAATATGATAAGAAATTGGAGTCCTCTGATAAGTCTTAGGGGATGGTCCTTGTTCAGACACTTGTTTTAGACAATAAATTTCCCTTTAACAAGTGTCATTTTACCAAGTGTGACTTTAACACAATTTCGAGAATTAAGTCAAGGGCCAGTTATTTTGGAATAAATGGTGTTTGAATGAAGTAGTCTTTGGCAGAACGGATGTTTGCTACGTTATGCTTGAAACCCCCTCCCCACAATTAAATTGATCTTAAATATGCATTTATCCCAGTTTAGATGACCTGGAACTGTCTGTTTGAAGCATCGTCCTGTTCGCAATTCGTAAACGAAGCGATATTTGCTCGAGCGCCCTCACACGTAAAAGCATTTCACGGAAACGAGAAAGCCCCTTCAGTGGATGGAACTAGATTAATCGCGTGCAAGTCTGAGCACGGTCCAGGCAGAAGGAACACGACGTGCGACTGGTAGAATTGGCTTGCTGCGAATCCGGAGTGGCGGGAAGAGAACCGAATCTGCAGTCAAACCGTTACAAATAAAGTCCGCAGGAAAACACAAATCTCCCTAACATGAATTGAACACATTCACAGAACGTGAGCAGCATACAGAACGAAGGGAAAGACCGTGATACGAAACAGTAAACCCACCAAGAATCCGCGTTGATGGAAGGGGTTCGTCGGGAGAGTGCATGTAATCAAGTAACTCTGGGCATCCGTTGGCATTGCAGGAATTGATTACTTTGTGGAATCCTGCCTCCACATTTGATTTCTCAGCTTGATAAATGGGGTTGTCAGTTCAGTGGTCAGGCTTGAACTAAGCAGGGTTTAGTCAAGCACATTAACTGAAGTCATCAGAAACTTGACACATGACAAATATAAAAGAAAGTTGTACTGAACGTCTAACATATCCCCATACAAAGAGATGGTTAATCACAGTTTTTGCCAAAATGGCAGCACTTGATGCCATAATCAATATCAGCGAGCAGCAGACTTACCCTGTGCCGGCGGAATTCTGGAAGAGGCCGTCGAGGGTATGGTAGTGCATTTTGTGGCTGATGATTTACACTCTGTGCTGTCAAACTGTCAAACCGGCGGGCTCGCGACCCGCAAAGTGCGATCAGGCGTCTTGCTCAAAGTCCTCGAATTTGGTGGACTCTGGACCACAACACTCACCACAATAATCACAATCTGCCAAGAAATGGCATGAGACTAAAATGTTAAAACAACACCATAAGACATATATTGAATGTTTGGTTCAGTAAGAATGCAGTAGAGATTTTTCATGGTAGCCATCTTGCAGGGCAGTGTTTTGTTCCACAGAGAAACATCCTTTGTGCGTACCCTGCGAAACAAAAGCAGTGGCCTGCGAGGTGGCAGCCATGCAAACCCTCTTTGGTTTTTTTTTTAGCAGAGTGAAAACCCCGGCACAACACATCTGCATAATCTGTCAATTCTTAAGTTTAATGGGTTGTCTTTGCAAGAGATCGAAATCGGCCGTTCGACATCTATCTTAACGGAGGAGGAATCCAATTTTCCCCCCGATGATTGCCTCAGTGTGCTGCCCCCACTTTTTTTCTGCCCGGTTGAAGCTTCCATTTCGTCTGTTTTCTAAAAAATGATATGGCCTGGGCTAATGAAGCTGGACGCATTGATAACATGTTGTCCGCGCACGTCGGGCATCCAGGGTCGTGGCTCCACGCGACTTTCCACCCAGAGATTTGTCGTCATCAGGCCCGACCACAAACAATAAGCCATCGTGATTCAATTATTAAGGTAAGGCCGAATTACTAATTGGGAGGTAAAGAAAGCCCCAGACTTCTCTCGGGCAAACAAACGTTATTTGCAGATCAACACGATCTACTTGGACCACTTAAGTTCATTTGGTTAATTTGAAATCATACAGCTAATTACCTGGCTAGATTGATTAGTTATACCAACATTTTGTCTGGAAACCTGCGTCTGAAAAGCTGTACTTATGAGCTCGGTAAAATTTGTCCTTGAGGATAATCTCCATGTACGATGTTTTACTGTGGGCTTTATATTGGATCATTTTCAGTAGTTTTACTTTTCAGTTTTACACACCAGATTTCTTCTTTGTAATCAGCTGAGACAATTTTTTTTTAATGTTCCTTTAGAATATAGCTAAAAGTGTCAGTACAGCGTAAATACGCATCGAAGAATATGGGACACGTTTAGGAAAACGTACCCCCCCATAGACCAGGAAGAAGTAAAGGCCAAATGTTTTGAAGGGGTAGGCAGTTTACTGTAACCATAACCTTGATAATCAACGCGAAAGCAGAGACAGCTCCACTTCGACGGTTGATATGTACAACCCACATTGTGTAGTGCGTACGCAATACAAGACTTTTGGGAAATCTCGGTTTAGTCGGAGTTATTCCAGGTAAGGCGCGCGACACAGAATCTGACCCCAACTTAAACACCAGTGGGGATCCGTCCTTAATTGAATAGTGTGATCGAACCTAATTTCATTTCGCACAGCGAGAGAGTGTCGGGTTACAAATCGCAGGGGCCGGTGCGCGGCCTCAAACCCACCGCGGCGCGAGTGTGTGGCCTGCTGAGTCCCCGTCACAGCAGGCAACGACAAATTGCCCCAACTCGGGCGAAGACGGCACTGCTGAGCGAGATGACAAGGCGAGAAAGTCGGGTAGCGCTGGGCCTGGTTGAATGGAAATGAGCGCGCCCGCGCCGGATGGCATATAAGACATCAGTGTTAATCAGGGGAGAGATAGCACAAGCGTCAGGTCGCGGTCGCTATCCAGAAGCCGGCGTTTTCCACAGACGAGAACGCGCTGAAAGTGCTTTAATTGTCGCGTCGAGATATCTGCCTCGCACTACGTCCGGGTAAGGTTTCAATAATCGGTTCCTCGGTGAAGTGCCTTGGCCCCACTCGAGTTGGCAAATCTTTGTTTGAACGGCATCTCCATATTTACTCTGTCGGCTAGCTGAAGTGCAAAAGGACCCAGTGCCGAGAACTGACTGATATTTCAACCCTCCGTACAACGCTAATAAATAAGCTTCTTCGAACTAAGACTCACAGTTCAAAGAGGGCGCCACTTTAAAACTCTCTGTCATTAACAAGCACGGCTTATATAGAATAAGGGGTGATGCAATGACTTAAAAAAGTGTTAAAACCAAGCTCAAAGTGCCTCGGTAGTGCAGTTATTTTTCGTCGGTAAGACCCATCAGTCCTAGTTGGCATTAAATCAGACACTGACGTATTGAATTTGAGTCTCTTGCATATAAGAAATTGACGATGAAGCTACAACTCTTTTCAAATTCATTTTAGTCACATGCCTATATCTGGCTTTGCCCGTGCAATTACACGGAGCCTATTCGCCAGTTAAAGATGTGTTTTTAAAACACATCTTTAACTGGAGAATGTTCCTCTCTTCCAAATAGCCAGACGTCCTGGACGATAAGATGAATCCTAAATAGGCATTTTTGAAGAGCCTGCCTTGCTGGTGCCGGGGGCAATTTTCCCCTGCCATATTTAATCCAAATGTGTATGTGTGTGTGTGTGTGGGGGGGGGAGTACAGAGTCGGCGATACAAACCGCTCACGGACTTTTTGGTCATTATTTCGCTGATGATTCCGAGACATCCCATTTGTCTTAAAGAGGAAAATAGCCGCATCTCGTATACTTGGCAGGTAGGCAATTGTAGTCTAGAAATTGCAGACTGTCTCGTCTCCGGGCCTGCACCTGGATAATTTTAAGATTGAGAACCGAAGTGTACGCGAAAGTCGGTGACGCTGCTCGGTCTTACAATGGTGTTTCTGGCAAAGATTCACTGTATTTTCCACAGTAGAATCGACTTGTCTATTGTATACGGAATCTCCCTCCAGGGAAGGTAACTGTAATCCTTCCCGGGAAAAAAACTTCATAAACGAAATCAGACCCCCCCCCCCAAAAAATGAAGCGAAACTTGAAATCAAGGCATGAAATATCACCATGCCGGGAACTGGCTTCGGGATTTACCTGATGTGAACTGCACAACCCTTGATACTGGACTTATCCCGGATATTTTTTGAAGTAAAACTTCAAGTTGACCAAGTATTCGGCACGGCCCTGGAGCAGTGATCCACTTTTGTCAATTAGCAACACCCAAACGTGAGTTATTCCGTCAACGCCGCACACTGGCAGACGATAAATGCGCGCTGCAGTAAGAATTCCCTCGGTATGAAATTGTACCAAAAAAAAAAAAAAAAAAAGAAATGGAATGTCCGAGTCCATCGAGTATTTGCCGTCGAGAGCATGAAGTATTTGTTTGGCGATCACGGACACCCTTAACGCCCTGTAAGTACAGCCTCTTATCCCGAGGTAAGCGTCCCCTTTGGGCTTCTCCGGAGATTACATCTGAAAAGCTAGGTTGACGTAGTGCCCTCGTAATATCAGAAGAAAAAAGCAAAATATTTCTGGGACGCAGCCTAATTAGTGATGGCTGTCAGTCCTGCCGGGAAAGTGGGTGATGGTTCCAAGATGTTCTCACATTAGCGTGCGGTGAAGCTGTTTTGGATGAGAGTATTTCTGTTTGTGCTTGGATTGTCTTTTTTGCTTAAAAAAAAATTGCGATAACGCCCACGGTTGGCGGCAATTTCAAGTACCTGTACCTCATGAGCCCAGAGCTGGACCGAGAAAGGGCCCAATTTTCCCAGCAACGGAGGCTTCTTTGGTCGCAACTGCACTTCGCTGGTTCACAGACGACTTAATGCAATGCACGCGTTGCAATCGTATCGCTAGCAACAAATTGAACACTCCCGACCTATATGGCTCTTTTCAACCAATGAAGGCGTGCTTCTGCTCAAGGCGGACAGCTTGAGACTAAGTGATAGCTACTTTGGTGAATCCATGTCAGCCCATAGCTCGAGGTTTATTCAAGGTACATCCTCGTCTAATGATCATATGAATTTTTTCCCCTCCGGGGACGACGTAGGTGGCAACTGCGGTCAGTTGTGATTGGTAGGCCATGTGCTGCCACCAAGCGTTGAAAGTCCTCCCGTGAGGTTCCAACGTAACGTGATAGCCGCCCAATGTGCTAACAAAAGACTGCACCGTCAATAGACATAGTTGGCGAGTGAGGACTTTCCCTGTACACCATCGATACTATGTCACGGTCAGAATGGCAAGAGTATAAGGTGACATAACAGTTTCTCAGCACCGA